TTTGGTGAAGATTATGAAGTGGTGGTTTATGGCAATATCGTTTCTGAATACGGAGGTACAGGCGTTGGGTGAGGGTCTGCTTCCGGGGCCAGTTGCCAGAATTTCTGTAGAGAGAAGCGAGAGAGAGAGTCAGCAATTTGGTTTTTGCAACCAGGTACATGTTCAGCAATCATGATAAATTGTTTTTTAGCAGATATCCAGATAAGGCGTCTTAAAAATGGCATAAGTGCTTGGGAGTGGGAGCGCCTTTTGTTGATGCAATGCACTGTGGCTTCATTATCGCAGTGAATGAGAATGCTAAAAGTAGACCATTCGTCCCCCCACAAGATGGCTGCTGCGACAATGGGGTAGAGTTCGAATAGGGCTGAAGAACATTGGTCTTTTGGAATGGAATAGAATTGGGGTGGCCATGTTGAGGCAAACCAGTGTCCTTTGTAGTAGCCGCCGAAACCAATAGAGGGGGCAGCATCTGTGTATAGGTTAATGTCGATGGGGGAAGTTGTTAAGTCGCTATAGAAAAAGGAACAGCCGTTCCATTGCTTAAGGAAAGAGATCCATAAGCAGAGTTCATCGTGACTTGGTTTAGAGAGAATAATTATTTCTTCTAAACCTTGAACTGTGGTGGATAGTTGAAGGAGGTGTGAAATAAAGGGGTGGCCCTGTGGAATGATGCGCATAGCGAAATTTAGATGGCCGAGAATTGATAGGAGTTCTCGTTTTGTGCACATCTGTTTTTCGAGGAAGATTTGGGATAGAGAAATGATCCGATCGATCTTCTCTTTGGGAAGGGATGCTTGAAATTTGTGCGAGTCTAGATTAATGCCCAGAAATTCGATTGAAGTACTGGGACCTGAAGTTTTTTCCTCTGCTAGAGGAATTCCGAGATCAGCGAAAACTTGTTGGGTGATCGCTAGGTGTTTGGCTGGAGGAGATGACGGGGGAGATATAATGAGAAAATCGTCTAGAAGGTGAATGAGGTATGGTATTCCGTAATTATGGATAGAATCCAGCATAATCATGTCAAATATTTTTGGGCTGCTTTTGCATCCGAAGGTTAGTCGGACTGCAAAATAGAATTGATTGCGCCAATAAATGCCAAAAAGGTGCCAGAAGTCTGGGTGGATTGGCATGATTTTAAAGGCAGAAGAGATGTCTACTTTGGCTAGCCAGGGCGTTGTGGCTGGCTATCTTTATAAGAGAAATTGCTTGATCGATGTCGTGATAGTTGAGCGTATATTCTTCTAGTGGTATCGTGCTGTTAATGCTAGGGAAAGAAGAATTATGTGGGGACGAAAGGTCAACTATGAGGCGTTTTTTGCCGGAAAATTTTCGAGTTGCGACACCAATGGGGCTAATGCGTGAAATATTGAATGGAGGAGCCTTAAAAGGTCCGATCATGAATTTGTTGTCGATTTCTTTTTTAATAAGATAATCGACTGTTTCGGGTTCGGAGGTCGCAGACTGAAGGTTAGGACGAATTAGATAAAGTGAAAAATGGAATGTATCCTTTGTGAAGAGGATGTGGAGTGTAGTAGGTTGGATGAGGGTCAGCTTCTGGAGCCAGCAGTCATGATCTCTAAAATAGAAAAACAAAGAGAATCAGAAATTAAATCTTTGCAAAATAATACAAGTATGGCAGACATGAAAATTGTTTTAGATAATATCCATGCGAGGCATCTGAATAAGGGCATGTAAATGGAAGCGCTTTGTTAATGCATGGTCTGATAGCTTTATTGCTACAATGTGCAAGGATGGTAGAGGTGGGTGTTCGTCTCCCCACGGGATGGCAGAGGGATAGAGAGCTGAGCATATGGGGTGTGGCTTGTCTGGTGGTCCTGGAAAACTGGTATCTCTTGAAGAGTGAGCATGTGAAGTGATAGTGAAGTTCAAAATTTTTTATTTATAACAGCCAAGTGAGAAGTTTGTTGTCTTGCCGTTTTCACACCCGACTGACTTGCTACATAATCCTATATGACATTTTGTATGGCGTATTACACTTGGACTTTTGTGCTTGATGGCATAATGTTTTCCAATAGCTTGCTATAATTTACTGGTTGGGTAATAATCTTTTCAGAAGTTAAATGTCTATTGGAAATTTTTTTTTTTTTTTTTTTTTTTTTTTTTCCCAAACTAAATTCACAAGCGTGTCTGGCCTATTCATTCATAAGGTCTTTGCAACAGAGTCAAGAGAGAGGGCGGGACCATCTCCAGTCTTTTAGCTCATTGGATGGTGATGCTTCTCTTTACAGCTTTTGGCTTAACGGAGTTTCAGTCAGGCAATGCAAAAGGTGCAAAAAGCCTGGCGGCCATTTTGTTAATCAAATTCAACATTGTTTATGGCTGGAGCTGCTGTTCTGCTGAACACGTTCCAGCAAACAATCTGTTTAACGATGGATCGCATGTGTACTGCTAGGAGAAGGTAAAGGTTCAGTTTTTGCAATAGCTTTGGAGTTTTGGCTGTTATCTTGCTGGAAAATAAGGTTGAAGACACAGCAGATGCGTTGTGGAGGCTCTTTGAAGTGGAAGGTTTTGGTGTTGTTGTTTAAGCTGTTGATGAAATTGTTGGAGTTGTTTGAAATGGTAGTAGTAGTTGTTGTTGTTGCTGTAGCTTGTATATTGTAGCTTGTAGATTGAAGCTTTTAGATTGTATATTGTAGATAGTAGCTTGAAGCTTGTAGATTGAAGCGTGTAGATTGAAGCTTTTGTAGCGCTTGTAGCTTTTGTAGCTTTGTAGTTGATGAGCAGAGCAGAGCATTCTTCCAAACAGAGATCCTGGTGATTGTAGCTTGTAGCTGCTTTGGTTGTCCATGCTGATTTAGAGTTGTTTTTTCAACGG